TTTGAAGTGTTGTTTCCTGCTGTAGAATGAGTGAATAATGGACAGCTACTTAACAGAGACAGCAAACTAGCTCGACGACATGGCCAAACGCAAGTATGGCACTGGATATGATGCTGTGTGAACCTTGAGCTAATGACTAAGGAGAAATCTGGAACCCATGACTGGACCAGTTGGGAATCACTGCTCTAAAATATAAAGTTCAGACTTTCTAAAGATAAATTCATAATACAAATAGTGTTTTTAATGAAGTGTGGCGTGAGACTGGATACTCTCTTACACAGAGTGCCTTATAGCTGAACCAAATCTGAACATGCAAGACCAAAGTAGTTTGAAAGCAAAAGCAGCAATATCTTTGAATTGCATACATACCTATAATCATATATAACCAAAATGAAGCTTGTCTGAACATTCATTTTATTTTGTTTTTATTTTACCCATTTAACCAGGCCAGAACATCCTCCAAAACAGTGGGAGGGGCATCACACAAATTTTCGTAGTGGCCAAAGTTCTGAGGCCATCATGTGATGCTCATAAGTGCTACATCATAGGCAACCAGACATTTCGCCTCTCATCCAAGAGGCTTCTTCAGTTCTAACAGACTGGTGCAAAGTTACAGGCTTTAAACTCTGTGCAGTTGTGAACCCTTACAGAGTCATTGAGGTCACATGTGAGTTGTTGACCCACCAAGCCATCATATGTGTTGTTAGGGTTAGATATCATCTGGGAAGGGATCCCAAGACTGCATTCCATCCATTCATTTTCATCTGCTTACGGGCATCGGGGTCGCAAGGGCAGCAGGCCAAGCAAAGCAACCAGACTTCCCTCTCCCCAGCAACACCCTCCAGCTCCTCCTCTGGAACCCATGGTTTTCCCAGGCCAGATGAGATATGTAATCACTCCAGCGTGTTCTGGGTCTACCCCAGAGCCTCCTAGCAGTGAGACCTGCCTGGAACAGGAGGTGCCTAGGTGGCATCCCGATTAGATGCCCGAACCATTTCAACTGACCCCTTTCGACGCAAAGGAGCAGCGGCTCTACTCCGCTCTATCTCCACCTTAACGTGGTGGAGGGGTTGGTGTGTCCCTGTGAACCTGGGAGCTGCGTTGTCAGGGGCTAATAGCCCCTGGTAGGGTCTCCCAAGACAAAGTGGTCCCAGGGGAGGGGCCAGACTAAAAGCAATTCAAGAAGACCTTGATGAAATGGACTTTTCTGACTTCGAGCACTTCACCCGGTATAGGGACACAGGTTTTGGTCAGTCTCAAACAGTGCTCTGCAACTTGGCAGGCGTCTCCCCTAGGTGTCACGCCATCACCTCCACCTCCTGTGAGAAATTCGGCTCATAGACTATGTCACTTTAGAAACATTGATATGATATGTATGAAATGTGCAGATGTAACAACTGCGTAGTTTCCTGAAATGTATCATGCCAACATTTTCTTCTGGTGACTGAGCTGGACCATAATGAAATGTGGAAATGAACTTGTACAGGTCCAGGGCCTGGTCTCAAATCCTGGAGTCCAGGTAAACCCATGAAGACCTCTACTGCACAGACACCCTGAAAATTAAATGAACTTTTTTGAAATAATTGTCCGTCCTTATTTATAAAAGAGACTGAAAAATATGGGGGGAACAAAAATATTATTTGTTCAATATGTGAAGGGAAAATAATAAAGGTACAGTCAGCAGTGGAGAGATGACTTCCTCTTAGGGCAGAGATGTGATCATGGAACATCATCCAACTTTCTACGTGGAGTGTGGAATGAGCGTCCGCATTGGGTAAATGCAAGTTTACCAAGGGCTAACTATTTGTAGTCAGATGTTGAATATGGTCTGAAAAATCTACCAAAAAGTCTGGAAAGATTTTGAAATTTGAGTCTGGAATTTTGATATGGAAAACGTGTAGTAACTCTGCAAAGTCTAAGAAAACTGCAACCTTTAAACCCTTCATTTGACTTTCGCACCCTCTCTGAACTTTTAGGCACGGCCGGAGGAGAGCAACCCAGATACCAGCCGTAATTCTGCTGATATTCATCATAGTTGCGGGCGTGTCTCCAAATTTGTACGTTTACATAGTGTCACAGTTTATAGTTGGAGCTGCACTCGGAGGATACAGAATTAACTCCACTGTATTGGGTAAGATGTATTTTTATTTCACCAACATCATGAAGATGTCCTGCTCTTAAATTCTACCTCTGATTTTGTTGTTTAAATTCTGTCTGTAGCTACAGAGTGGATTGGGATCACCAAGAGGTCCTTTGCCTCCTGTATGAGCCAGATGTTTGCAGCTGTTGGACAGTGTGTCATGGCTGGTCTGATCTATGTCATCCGTGACTGGAGAGTGGCGCAGTATGTCATGGCAGGAGCACAGGCCTTTGTATTGCTGTACATATGGTATGTGTTGTTTAAACCTTTTTACTTTTATTTGTTTTTTTTTGTATTTGGACATTAACGCTTTTCCTGATCATACCTGCCAGTTCAGCCATGTGTGTATCTTGGCGTCATAGCTCTGCTGCATAATGAGATAATGCAAAACCAGTGCTGTTATAGTGTATTCAGGAGGACTGCTGTGTAACTAACCTCGCTGGTAAATCAGTTTCTGATTCAGACAAATTAATAACAGTTTGTACGTGACTCCACCATTTGGATTAGGGCTGGGCAATTCATCAATATTACACCTATATATTGATGAGACTAGACATTGTGTTAGATTTTGGATGTTTTTAATATCATCAGTGTTTTCTTTTCCTGGTTTTCAAGGCTGCATTACAGTAAAGTGACTGTTAGTATGTATTTTTACATCTTCACTGACCAGTGGATACTAGGTCAAGAACCCCTGAGGATCATGTTCCGCAAGGACAGCTGTCATGGCGTCAGAAGTGCTAGATGGACAAGTTAGACTAATTTTAGTTGGCCCAAGGCCAAGTTAAATTTGGCAAAGCATCATTTAGGTAACAGAGTGTACCTGACACCATCCTATCTATACTGTGTCTCTCTCTGTTCACTTCATCACATAGCTTCTGCATGTAGTCATTGTTGATCCAAGCTCGTAATAAACATGCATTAAGAAAGAACTCCGTGATCGGCCTCATCCTTGAACTTTCCAGATCATCGTAGAAACACTTACTCTCAGTGACGTAACTTTCTGAACTCACCAGACTGTTCCAGCTGTTCTTTTATTTGCCTTTATTACAGAAAACATGTGTCGCACACTCTGACTCCATATGCATTTCCTTTATTTTGTTGACGTTTTGGCCTTAAGGCCTTCTTCAAGATCAACAATCATACTGAGACACAGGTACACTGTTACACAGGCCAAAAAAACAGTTAAGAGGCCCTCAATAAATCAAGACCTTTAAACCAAACAGTGCCAGGAGCTACAGCTAGTCACATTAAACAAACGACAACAGCCACTGTACATATTCCACTACATTTCATTAATTAATATTAATTTAATTTAATATACATTTTTGTAGAAAGGTGAGAAGTGAGATCTTAAAGTCTACGTGGGCTGTTGAGTGTCTGGTCTGTCTCAGCCTGTTCAACCTGTTCATGCTATCGACTGCAAATCTCTCCCCAAGTTTTATGTTAGCTGCCCCATGAGCTGACCTGACCTTCGTACTTTGAGCTGACGTGATGATGTTGTCACATCATTAATTATCTAATTAAATTCTCACATGTCAAACATATTTTTTATAATATTTTCTGTTCAAGTTCAAAATTTAAAACAAATGTCCAGATATCCTATGAGTTATTGTAAAATAGCCAACTATTTACAGACTGTGTTGTTCTACCCCTTGTCAATAGGGGGTGCTGCAGCATACTCAGCAGCACCCACCATCCTGTGCCCAAGTATGGCTGTATGCTCAAGGACCTAACATGGTTGTGGTGATACACTATTTAAGTTACTGATTAATATTGTCATCGACTGCTGACTCCTCAATCCTATTGACTGGTCGGTAGGAGCCACAGGTCACCAACAAAATCACATAGCGAAGGGCATTTCTGTTAATCGACTTGGCTAAAAACAACAAGTTTTAGTGTCTGTTCGAGGCAATGTTTTGGCCTTTCTCTTAAAGTTTGGGTTTATTCTTAACTGGAGCATCTGCAGATTAACTCCATACCCAATTTGTTATGATCCACTAAAGTTAGGCACGATATCTTCACCACCATCTTGAGTGTAAAGGAGCTGAAAGGGACAATGCACAATAGACTCGCTGCAATCAGCTCCGGCGGATATCTGCATATAACTAGAGCGCACTTTTCTAGTTTGGATTGTGATTAATGTTTTCAGGTGGATTCCTGAATCTGCACGGTGGTTGCTTGGACGGGGCAGAACCGAAGAAGCGAATATGTTGATACGTCGAGTTGCAGCAATCAATAAAAAGCAAATCCCAGACAATCTGCTGGACGAGGTAATTCAGATTCAATACTATTTACATTTGATCAGATGAGACTTTAATGATCCATCAGAAGACAAGATTTAACAGTCACAGCCACGCCCACAGTGACAATGCTAACACGTTCATGTTTATGTTCTCCATCTGGGGTCCTCAATGTCCTCTTAATATGACTCATTAAAGAGATCTTTCAAACAGGCCAGTGGATTCCAAACCGGAGCCCTCCCACAATATACACTGCTCAAAAAAATTAGGTGAACACTTAAATCACACATCAGATCTTGATGAATGAATTATTTAAGTTGAAAATCTTTACTGATGCTCATTGTATAATTTGTTGAGAACAATATGATGTAACAACGGCCATTCAACGGTCAATCATCAACCCACTGAGGGCTGGATTCAAAATCACACTGAAAATCAAAGTAAATCACAGGCTGATCCAACTTGTCTGACTTTCATCATCTCATAATGTGACTCAGTAGTGTGCACAGCCTGGGGGATCCCCTCCAAGACCTGTATGAGGGCATCAGTGAGCTCCTGGACAGTCTGTGGCAGTGCTTGGCGCCATCAAATGCACCGATACATAACAGCCTATAGGTTCTCAATTGGATTCAGGTCAAGGGAACAAGAGGGCCAGTCAATGGCATCAGTGCCTTCATCATCCAGGAACTGCCTACACACTCTGTCCACATGAGGCTGGGCATTGTCCTGCACCAGGAGGAACCCAGGGCCCGCTACACAAGAAGGAACCCAGGGCCCACTGCACCAGGAGGAACCCAGGGCCCACTGCTCCAGCGCAAGGTCTGACAGTCACTCTGAGGATTTCATCCCGGTACTGAGCAGTAGCCAGGGTACTCTTGGCTATGGCATGGATATGGTGTGACCCTCCAAGGATATGCCTCCTCAGACCATCACTGATCCACCGCCAAACTAGTCATGCTGGATGGACATCTGTGAAGAGAACGGGGCGCCAATGACAGACCTGCCAATCCTGCAGAGTGCTGGGCTGTGAACACAGGTCCCACTAGAGGACGTCAGGCCCTCATGCCACCCTCATGGAGTCTGTTTCTGACGGTTTGGTCAGAAACATGCACACCAGTAGCCTGCTGGAGCTCATTTTGTAGAGCTCTGCCTGAGCTCCTTCTGTTCCTCCTCACGCAAAGGAGCAGATACTGGTCCTGCTGCTGGGTTGAAGCCCTTCTACGGCCCTGTCCAGCTTTCCTTGTGTAACAGCCGGTCACCTGGTATCTTCTCCGTGCTCTTGAGACTGTGTACACAGCAAATCTTCTTGCAACCACACGTATCAATGTGCCATCCTGGAGGAGCTGGACTACCTGTGCAACCTGATTGGGCTGCAGGTACCGCCTCATGCTGCCAGTAGTGACAAGGACACTAGCAGAACACAAAACTAGAGAAGAATCAGTCAGGAGGGATAAGGAGAGAGCAACTGTCTGTGGCCACCACATGTAAAACCATTCCCTTTTTGG